CTTGTAGAAAGACCTAGGGAGAGATACTTCTACTGAGTCTTTTACAGAAATAAGTTGGAGACCGTTAAGGAGACTTTATAGTTTTAAGGCTTGTGGGGAGGGAGTAGTCAGGAAGGCCCAGGTGGTATATTGATGTCCACATGAGTGACTTGAGAGTCTTCCAGTATATCATCAATTAAACCCATTCCTATCTAAATATGAGAATACTTACCCATCTGTGTCTCTTATTTCAGATTTAATTCCTTATAGAAAGGACAGTACCTAGTCTCGTGGTAGACATACCTTGCTGGTGGCTATTGGTATTAGCGATCAACGAGGATCTCCCAGATTATCCGGCCAGCTTGCACATCACTACTGACATTTTCGGACTCGAGTTTCGATTGGTGAAGTGGCATTAGCCTTCCAGTCTTCCAGTTTGGAATTTTTTGAAGATAGGATGAAAACTTCCTGGGTTACTTTGCGCACTAGCTTTACCACTAAGTATTCTTGATGGCTTCCTGCTTTCTCTGATTTAGACTTTTCCGAGCAATAAAGGTTAGGAAACCTACCTGTCATACAATCAGAAATAGGTGGCTCTGACTTGAGAAAAGGTCAATTGAGCATCTTGTGACCTTTACCATGGTCGGATGGACCCTTTCCTTGTATTCAATGATGTATCGGTAGCATGTTCTGTATCTACCCGCATTAACACATATGACTTATGGTGGACCCCAGGTTCTTATGGAGCTGAAAAAATGTATTCAGATACGTGAGATGGCCAATAGAAGCTTGTTTATCAATTTTGTCCAATATGTTTTGTGTCATCCAATCAGAATTAGTGAGATTCGTACTATCCGAAATTTTAGGGTCAAGCTGGGCTAGGCAAAATTCCCCAGAAAGCTGTGAAAAAGGTAGCTCTAAAAGGCCACAACCCCAGTCGAAGGGTAGAAAACTGAGTCCTTTGACTGGAATAAAACCTCTGTTATCTCCACTATAGCTGAGAGGTGAAAGATACTTCACAATTAATCCTTTTTCCTTTAAGAACTTTCTTGCCATTAGTAGTAAAGATGGAAGCTGAACTTTGCAGGTCACAAGAGTTCAAAGGAGGTTGTAAACAAGAAGGAGGGGAAGTGCGGGAGTTCTGAGAGAACTTTTGAGTTGGTTTAAAGAGAGTAATAAGACTTTATTAGCAAGAAAATATAAAAACTTCTTGCGAACATCTTTTTTGTGTGTAGTCAGAGGATTAGCGGAAAGAGTTGCCTTGATATTTTAGATTTAAGTGTTAATTTGATAATAAGATTTATAGTTGTATTATTAAAATAATAATATATAAATTCTTATCTTGTTAAATTTCAAAAATTTTATTTTTTTAGCTTAAAATATATCAATTTAATATTATAATTAAATATAAATTATTAAAATAAAAATAATAATCAAAGTTTTTTATTAAAAAATATTAAAAATTTTAAATTAATAATTATAAAAAAAAACTATATAAAATAGTTTTTTTATTATCTAAATTTTTAATTAATAATATTTTTTGAATTTTGTTTTTATTAAAATAAAAAAGTTATAAATTTAATTTTCAAAAAAAAATATATATATAAATAATTTGTAAAATTTTTATATTAAATATTTTAATAATTTATTATTAAATATTTTATATTAATAAAATTGAATTAATAAAATAATAAAATTTGTAAAACTTAATACTTATTAATTCAGATTTACTGTTAATAATTGTATAATAATTATATGATTTTTAATTAAATTTATTTACTTATTGAGTAATAAATTTATTTAAAAAATTGTAATAAGTTTTTTTTTTTACTAATCTATAATTTAATTGTTTTTAAAAATTTAAATTTATTTACTATATTTTTATTATAAATTTTAATTTTGACAATTTTTAAATTTTTAATTATGCAATCAAAATTTATAAAATCCATATATATTATATTTTAATACTAGTTTTATCTATTCTTTTTTGATCAAAAAATTTTTATCCAATTTTTAAAGTTTTATTATTATTAAAAAATTTCTTCTTTTATTAAATTTTTGTTTTTGAAGAATTTTAATTGACAGTTATTATAAACCATATGATAATTAATAAAAAAATATAAATATTTGATATTGATAAAACTTTAAAATATATTAATTATAAAATTTTTTAAAAAATATAAAAAATAAATAATAATAATATATAATATATACTTTTTATAATTTTTGATTGTATAAGTAATAATTTAAAAATTATCAAAGTTAAGATTTATAATAAAAACATAGTAAGTAGATACAAATTTTTAAAAGTAATTATATATAAAAATATATAAAATATAAAATATAATTGTTATTTATATTAAGAATTTGGTTATTTGATAAAGAACTTATATTTAATATTAGTTATAATTTAAAAAATAAATAAATAAATTATTATATTATTAATTTGATTTGATTTATTATTTTATAATAATAATTTATAATAATATATTTATAAATAAAAAAAAATTGATATTATTGGATTTTTTATATCAATTTTGTAAAATAATAGTATGTTTATTAAAAATAATTTTTATTAAATTTTATTTAAAAATATAAAGATTGTATAATCTAGAATAAATAGTTTCAATATATTATTTTTATTAAAATTTTATATATTGCTTTTTTAAAAAAATCAATTTAATAATAATAATAATAATTTTTAAAATAATTACAAAGAACTACTATTATATAATATGTTAAAGAAGATTTTACTTAAATTAGTTAAACATTAATTTCATTAATTAATATAAAAACTAATTAATTAAAATATTTATATAAAAATATGGATTTTTTTTTAATATAGCTTTTTTTGATTTTGATAATTAAATTAACGGTTTTAAAAGAAAGTAGATAAAATATTAAAGAAAATAATGTAATAGTTTATTGGTTAAAGCAATCAATATTAATAAAAAGAACCATAAAGTTTTATTGTTATATTTTATAAAAAAAGTAAGATTACTTATTTAAGTATAAAATACTTTCGATATTTTAACTTTTATATAAGCCTAAAGTATAAATAGTATTTACTGTATATACTGTATAACTTTAATTCTAACTATTTTTTTATATATAAGTTTCATATTATATTTTTAATATAATTTTGATTAATATATTTTAGAAAGTTTATATTTGCAAAAATTATATGTTGATCCATTTATTTATTTAATGAGCCTCGTTTGGATGTATATACTATTATAATTTTAATTCTTCCAATAAAGTTAAAGTCAAATGAAATGGGAAATAACTTTTAATACAATGAATAATGAAAATTGGCAAAATAAATGAAGTCTGTTATACCACATTCGTCTTTTTATTGATTGTATGGATCTGAATGCATTGTACTTACTCCCTTAAAGTGGAATTTTAGAGCCTAAAAATGTAAGAGACTCGGATGCTAATTGCCGAGAATACGCTATTTATGCTGTAGATTCAGGTATTTCTTGCGTAACAAAGTCTCATATACTGTATATCAAACAAAATTAATTCATTGATTAAGTCTGAGAACGCCGAGGTTGAGACCAAACAAAGAAAGAGTATCGGACACAAAATTGAAAATGAACGCCGAATTTTAAAGTAAAAATCAAATGGTAAGTCGTTAATATACAGTTATCAACGATAAAATAATTTACAAAAATATTTCATTTAAACAAAAATTAAAAATTAAATTATAATCGTGTACAATTTAAGTTTGATGTCTTTTATTTTAATCGACCTAAATCTGCTCGCTCCAAGTTTCGTTTATTCATCTTTATACATTTTATTTTTGTTCAATTCATATCCCGTCCCGTCATATAACCCAAGTATTGCGCACCCAAGCTTCATTCGATCCGGGTCCGCTTAACTTAGTTTAAAGCTAACTCAATTCCTGTTTTGTTTAACTTACGATTCTAGATTTGTACCAAGTTTTTTTTTTCTCAAACTAATTTGGCAATAATCTAAGTAAGTTCAGATTTCAGGTAACCTAAGTTTCTTTTTTGAAGTTTTTTTTTAACCAAGCATAATTTCGCATTGAGAGAGGACGCATTTACTGTAAGTTCACTATAAATAAATACACAGTACTTTCTTAATACCACACAGCCCTATGAATGTTGGACAAAATTTTTAAATGATTCCCCATTTACAGTAAAACAATGTGCGATTTATTCAAAAGGTGGATAATCGGGAAAACGCGATAAAAAAAAAAAAAAAAAAAAAAAAAAAATTGCAACGCGTAAAATGAATTGTAAACCATGTGATAGACGCTATACATATTGTTTTCGATGGAACACATATGGTATTAGATATCCTTTGAGGACATTTGATAAAAGTCATACGACCCTTTCGGCTTCCTAAATTAATTCATTATTAGAGATGTACCAATGATTGCGATTTTATTCGTTCAATTTGATTCGAGGGATTCGAGTGGGATGATTTTTTTTTTAAAGTAAAACAAAAGAAAGGTCACGTGACAACTATAGGAAAATACTAAACTCGCTTTCTCTCTTATACCATTTTACCATACAGGTTTTCCCCTCTAAAATTTGACTTGCAAAATAAAGTCGCCTCTTACCTTTCTATTTCGTTTAGTGCTCCACGCAAGCCTTAAGGCGACGATGTTCTCAGAGAAAGACGACGCTTATGATTACAGACACCCTCTTTACATTGGTGATTGGAGAAAGCCCATCGCATATATGGATGACGATTTCGCGAATGATGATTTGGATGGACCACACATGAAGCGAAAAATTACTATTCTAAATTATCACCCCGAAATCGAAGAATTATATGGGCACGATAGCAGAACGACACTCATCACCGTCATAGTAACATTAATCCAATTAATAGTTTCTTACACGTTTGGTTGTTTATTGGTCAATTGGGATTGGACGATGCTCATTACTTCTTTTTTAATCGGAGGAACGACGACGCAAATTTGCGTTGTAATAATTCATGAGGCTGCCCATGGTCTTGCTGCGAGAACTAATTTTCAGAATCGCCTCGTAGGACTCGTTGCTAATATAACGATACCGGCGCCGATCGCCATGTCATTTCGTCGATATCACCTGGAACATCACACTTTTCAAGGTGTGGACGGAATAGACCCCGACCTACCATTGGACTGGGAGAAAAGTGTCATTCGTAGCAATACATTGTTTAAATTGATGTGGTTAATCTTCTTTCCTATCATTAATCTGATTCGAAGCTTGGCCATGTTTAAAAGTCCACAATTGTGGGAATATGTAAACTACGTTTTTACCATCTTCATCGATTTCATCATCTTTTACTATTTTGGAGGGCGCGGATTATTGTACCTGTTTTTGTCTATGTGGTCTGGATATAGTATTCACCCGGCGGCTGCACGTTTCATACAAGAACACTATACCTTTGATGACGGACAAGAAACCTATTCTTATTACGGAATTCTTAACAAGTTTTTTATGAACGTTGGTTATCACAATGAACACCACGACTTTACAAAGGTAATTAATTGTATGCGTGCAGCTTTTCATTTAATATTGATAACCATACCAATTCGTCGCTAAATAATCGATTCGTGTGGCACATCAATTCAGGTTGCGTGGTCTCGTCTGCCGGAGATACGTAAGATTGCGGCAGAATACTATGATGATCTTGCCTATCATACATCATGGTTGATGGTTTTCTGGAACTTTGTCACGAAACGACAATTCGGACCTCAAAGTCGTGTCAGAAGAAGTTTTAAAGATCACATGAAAGGACGGAAAATGATATTGACACTGAAAAAAACCTTGATGGAAGAATGAATAAGTATCACTCATTTTGTTTCTCAACTTTGCACCACATGCGTAAAACCCGATGGTGGTATGCAGTGCATTAACATGGATAGCATCCGGCACATTCTTGTTATAGCCAATGCTTTTAAAACATTTCAATAATTTGTACATTATCTTGCAAAAAAAAATAATCATGTTTTTCTTGAATGCATGTATCTGAATCAAATTTTATAGCGTAATGAAGGGTATATTGTTATATTTTCAGAGTGCATTGAAATTATCATTAGTGTTTACAGAATTTATTTATCACATTGTTACCAAATCTAAGAATTGCATTCATGTACAGTACAGACGGGTATCAGGCGATTTTTATAAGATCGATCACAATTTTTTATTTACCAACGTGTTGCATGACATAGTAACCACCTCTTCTAAATCAAATTCATTATACAGTATGGTTTTCTATTCTTATTAATTCAAAATTTAACTTCTCTTCACACATTTTCAATTGGACTAAAATCTGGTGATTGGGATAGTCATTCTATGGACATAATTTTAAGCTCAGATTTTAATTTTTTTTACCAATTACATTTGCGAATTGATGTGTTGTTTTCTTGTAGCATTCCTTCATCAATATTAGAATTATTGAATACAATAAATAGTATCCAAAATAAGATTTCCATATTCTTCTTCATTTACTGTATATGAGATGAAATATGAATCAGATGGCATAAATCTTATCCATTTATATATTCTCAAATCATAATTGACTTGTAATCACTTTTAATAGTTGCATGTATGCAACTTGGATCATAAAATTTATCTTTGTAATATCAAATCCAATTTTTTTCATAAAAATCAAGGATTCACCTATCTATAAGATTTGTTTTCAATTTTCTTTGATCTAATTCTTGTGTTCACTTGTTCATTTTAATTTTTTTATATAATTAACTTTACTTGTCAAAGATTTTTTGTATACAAATATAAAATTTAATAATATTTTTTTTTTAAGATTTTCATTAATGTTTATATAGATATGGGAGTTTAAGTTTTTTGTGAAATTTTGATAATGAGAATATGTTTTAACAATTTTTTAATGACAAATCAACCTTAATTTTCTTATAGAATTTAATATTCGAGATATTTATTGATAATCAATTTAAATCTACTATTCTTTCTTTTAAAATAATCAATACAATTAATTAATTTTCACTAATAAAAACAATTTTTGACTATTGTTATAGATTGTTCAATTATTTAAACAATTTTAGTGATAAACATATCTTCTTTTTTAAGTTTCTTTATTGTGTAATACTTTTTCTTTATAAGATTCTTTTTGTAACTTATTTTTATATATGACATAAATTTTATATTATTTCTTACTTAAGTCAATAAATGATATAAAAAAAAAATCTTTTATTATTAACAAATAATCATTTATACAGTATATACAATTGATACTTTATTATTATAATTAAAACTTTTATATGCATAAAATTTTTTTATAATTGCCTTAATACAGTGATACTTATTTGTATAATAAATACTAAAAATAAGATTAACAATTTTTCTTATAAGAGAAAAATATACTATAGAATATATAAAATATATAAAAAATACTACAAATCAAAATACTAACTTACGGGGGTTTTTTTTGAGTGCCCATAGCCAGGCTAAATCATCAGTTTATTAATCAATTGAAAACAAAAGTACATTTTCATTCAAACGGCATAATATATATTATAGCTAAACTATTATTCTAATCTAATTAACTCATTTTAAGCATAAAAGTCCCTAAATTCAGCCTTGAAGACAATATTTCATTCCGCAATATCTTTAGGTGAAAACTTTTCTAGTTCACTACATTACTGCCAGTAGGTTGTTATTGCTGTATGTCATACCAAGTCACTAGAATACAGGAAACTACAAAAAGATAGGTTGAAAAAGAGGAGGAATGATATCTAAAAATATTTAAATAGACTTAACAAGAAAATGAAAGAGTAAAAATTGAAAAAAAAATTTTCCAGCTTCCTTCAAAGATCTGCTTTTCAAGACCTCTTCTTAATAAGAAATATTCGATTGGAATATTCTTTCTTTTCCTGACTGTCTGAAGAACTTATTCATTCTTA